GGCTGCGGCGGTTGGCGGTGCGCGGCGCCCTGCGGGAGCAGAGCCCGACGGGAGCCCCCGGGGCCGGGAGGCACCTGGCGGCGTTTTCCCGCGGCGCGGGGCGCAGGGCGTCTGAGGGAGGGGAAGGGGGCTGCGGACGGACTGAGGGGAGCGAGCCGAGGGGCGCGCGGGGGAGGCGGCGGGGCCGGCGAATTTAGAATTGGCGCCTCTGAAGTTTCGGTGGCTCGTGCGATGCCCCGGCCGGTGTCCTGGTGGCCGGCCACCTCGGGATGCCCGGAGATGCTGCGAGGAGCCGCGTCCCCTGGGGCCGGGGACACCGCGTAGCCACCCCGCGCTGGGCTGGAGGGGGACGAGTTGGGAGGAAAAGGGACGAAATTGGGGGACTTGAGGGGATGTGGAGGGGGAGTTGTGCCCTGACCCGAGTGCCGGAGCGTGGAGGAGATGTGATCGCGAATCTGATGCGGACGGGGGCGCTCTGCAGAGCCGGCACTGTCGGGATAAAACCGCATCCTACCCCCCGCACTGATTGACGCCGAGTGATGCTCGGAGCCGCTGGGATGCTTTGGAAGGGCGGCTCTAGTCCTCTGTTTGGAAGGAATGTCTTGTCTTCCCTCCATCGATCGGGTCCCAGCGCTGCCAGCACCTGCTGCCACTTAGAGACACTTAGGATTTTTGAATACCGGCTTCCTAAACCATTCCCGCTATCCTTCGGGGAGGGAATGTTAATAGGCTAAGCTTATTTTGGGGGCATGAGAAACGTGTCAGCATGAGAAGAAAAAGAAAAATGACTGCTTAAGTTTAAGAGATAGTAGAACTCGCCTCCCCGCCTCCCCCCCCGCCCCCATAAAAAAGAAAGTGAAACGTGGTAATTGTTTCAACTACAAGTTTGAGCTGTTGTAAATTCTACTGGTAACTGGATAATTTCTTGCAGTTTTAACTTTGGAAGTAAAAAAAATTTAGCAAGTCTTGGGAGGGTTGCTTTATCCTCAAGCCCCCCCTCTCCCCTTTTAAGTCTTAATTGTCGTATCTTGCAAGTAACGGGGTTGTGAAATTAGCATGGAAATACGACTTTCAGGCCCTGCACTTGAATTCCTTATTATCTGTTAAGTAGCTGCCTGTGAGGTAAAAGTAGGGGGGTTGGTAGCACTGGGCCTGGAATTCCATTTTGAGTTGTCTTTAAAAGCAGCCTTTGGTGTAAACAAACAAAAAAAAGAATTGGCTATTCACTGTGATGAAATTTGGAAAGTCAAACATGAGTTAAGCACATGTTTATAGAATATTTCATAATCTCAGTGAGATTCAATAGTCAGTTCACTTGAAAGAGAGGAAAACTTTGTATTCTTGGAACCCTAA